GTCTTGGAATGATTTGTCATTTTGACTCGTGTGTACTTTTCAAAGTCAACTTTGATGTCAATTATTAAGTGGAAACACTTGCAATTTTTCTGTCTCAGCCTCTGATCAGAGGGAATTTAAACAAACAATAAATCTGTAGCTCGAACGCTTGGCTATTTCCACTTAATAACCTTGAAAACTTCATTCAACCAATTTCAAAATTTTCAACTTGAAAAAAATATCTCTGAAATCAATTGATTTGGAATAAGGTTATACATTATGAACTGTATAGAATATTTTCCAATAAAATTTTTGCCAATCAGAAGTAAAATTTCACAATCTCCTTTTATGTATTTGTCTATGATGGAGAGGTATCAATCATTAAATTTATTTTTCCACAAAACATTTGAAATAATAAAGACAATTGTAAAAAGGCTTACCACATGGAGTCTCTAATGTTTAGTGGTACAAACCAAGGGGTCATTCACTCTATTTACCATTTATTTTGCATCACATCTTCCATTAATGTCACATCGAGTACTCGCAATTAATTCACTTTGCTTATCATTTATTTATTTATTTAATAGCATTATGGAAAAATAAGATAAAAGCTTTATGGTCTCTTATTAATGACGCATTAATTTGAAGCAGACGGGAGTATCGTGAAAACTACCCAAAATAGAAAATTACCGTAAAAATCGGAGCCCTCTTTTCCAGGTAAAGTATATAATTTTCATTCAGTGTAGAGGATCTCGTTAAAAATACGAAAAAAATCAGCTGCATTATGCGTACGTGTATCAGCGAATTGCAATTGATGTCCTTACAACTTTCACTATTAAGACCAATTTTTCAATTGCGTCAGTTACAGTTGATTGGATGAAAGAAGCTGGGCCGTCCATCGAGGGCACATTTAAACATGATTTATTTGACTTACTTAAAAAATCCTCATCTCTTTAGGTATTTCATCTGATTCGACTGAATGCAACAGTTAGTTTCCAAATTTTAAAGATGATTTGTATCTTTTCAATTTCAAATTGTCTATTATTTTCTAATATTATGAACAAATTACTCAAATTCAAACACGGTTAAGTGTCTTTATGGCCACCATAAATTTAATCCCTTTTAGTGACATTAACAACAACATCAACAAGCAGTGGTGAGTCGGTATTTGAATTCACCATTACTATACTATTGTTAAAGTCCAGTTTCGTCTGGTAAACCTTAAAATAAATTAAAATTCGCCTAACTTTTGAAAATTCATAATATTATATAATTAATGTTACTATTGTTGGTGCTTAGGAAGTTCGTAGTAAATTGCATTACTTTTTAACAAAGGAATTAATTTGGCGTAATTCTAATTGAACACATCACAGCCTTAGAAAGTATTTCCATTAGTTAACTAATAAGCAGTAATTGCAAATTACTGTAGAAATTCAACTATTTTTTCAGTTATATTTTCATTATTTTGCTAAATTCAAAAAAACAGGTTGCCCAATCGGATCTACTATTTCAAGCAAGTTATTCGCATTTCGTAGAAAATTACAATCATTAATTAATTCTTATACCTCATCAACTGAATTGTTTATTGTACTTTATTTAGTTCTTTTTGGAAGTACCCTATGGATTTTCAAGTGATTCCTGTCATTCTAAAAACAAATTCAAAATATTTCAGTCTTGTTTTCACATTAATTGTAAAAGTCATTTTAAAATCATTAAGTAATGAAAGCATAATAGCACTTTCAAAATAAATGTTACAACGTTGACAAGTCGGAAATCTTTGTTACGAATTGGGTTGACAGACATTTGATATATCTTCTTACTTGCGCACCAGACATGAATTAAAGATTTCGCTTTCCCAATTGGCAAAGTCTACGTTTCAACGAGCCTAAGATTTCAATACATCATATTCTGATCACTTGAACTGTTAATTTTTCCCTGTACGTCAGGAAAGTTGCCGGGGTTTGCAAGAATATCAAATTTTTCGAATTCGATTGCTTAAATTGTTTTTCTACTCTGAACTTGAACGCATTGTTTGATCTCATTTTGTGAAATGCACATTTTGAAGAGCCTCTTTTGGCTTTTTAAATTGATGAAACTAACTACTTTCCACTTGGTAGGTCTTTAAGCAGTAGAACAGATGACCATCAAATGAGCAGTAATAATAGCTTTACAAGAGCAATCAATCATATGCTAATATTGGAAATTGCAAATTTCCATCATATTAATACCTTTTATTTGGAGTAAGCTAGCTTAATTAAATTCGTATTTAAAATGAATTCAGAAACATGCATTTGACGTTCAATTAATGCTGGAATTGAAGCAGATGCCGTTGTAAATTCTTTCTACTTTTGGCATCGCAAAGTTGACGCAATTTAAGAGTCGATTTCCGTTATGAGTAAAACTCGGTCTGTAATATATGCTTCCTTTCAGACTATGCACTCTTTAATCCATAATCATGCATGCTACTCCAAAGTTATGTTTAATTATATCAGTACGTCTCACTGAAATGGAATACCGGGAAGTCATTTTTTAGAACACTTTGTGGGACACGTCACCGCATGCCTCCACGCCATGATTGGGAGGTGCGACCGTACAAACAATGACCAATCAGTAACCTCTGTTTGTTTAACCTAATCCCCCATCCTGATCCGCAATATACGTCCTGAATAAACGTGCTCCGTGCTACACGTCTGTTTCCTTTATAGCTGGGCTATAGCTTAGCTGGTTCTGGGAGTCTAGCTAGATGTTGGAGAACCTGCCATAGAGATTTCTGAGTTGGTTGGGCTTTAATAAAGTAGCAATCTGCTACAACTTCACTAGGACCTTGGTTTCTTAAAAACAAATGGATTGAGGGGCGATAAGAGGTTTTTAACTAGAATGGCCATTGCTACATTAGTGGCAATAATAAACGCGATGTCACTTAATAATTCCACGGAGAACTGGATGGTAAATGGCCAAATGGCACAGATTAAGTAATCTAAATGAAACAAAGGCGTTTCATTGCAGTTAACGTAATCGTGGTTCCATTATGCAAATATGAATATTGTGCTCCAATGCTCATTCTGAATAGGTGTATTTGCCACTATGTGTTTCCTTGTAGTTAAATGCCTTCCACCGTAAACTGCTGTACTTCACGTAGACCTTCATACCCCTATTTTTTGTTAATTCCTGGCAGAATTTTCTAATTCCACTCACTCATTCGTTAAGTCTGCGTGTGTTTTTTTTCCCACAAATCACATTATTCTGAACTGAACTTGACTCTATCAGCTCACTGGGAAATTTTGGACTGGCTTTCGACAGTGGTCT